GTGTATAATTACAACGGAAAGAATAATCACAAGGGAAGTGAACACACAGATATCTTTCACTGATTCTATAACTGAAAAAATGTCACTTTTAAGGAAAATTGAAGATGAACTTAAATATAGTGCTTGCCAAAGATTATATAAAATTAAACATGGCGATCCTGATCTGAAGAATGGTAAAGATGCACAAAAATGTGAAAAATCAAAACACAATGATTCAGAGATAACAAAAAAAGTGCAAGGTAATGAACAAAAAGAAACCAAACAAGGTGAATCCAAAGAAGTTATTGTGGTTTGCAAAAATAAAAATAAAGATAATAAGATAACTGATGTACAGAAATATAAAAAATCAAAACCCCAAGATTCAGAGAAAATTAAAAATGTAAAAAATAATGAACAAAAAGAAAAACTTAAACAACCCAAAAAGATAGACGATCTAAAGAAAAAAAGTAGATGTACATGCAAAAAAAAACCTTCAAAAAGATGCTCATGCTCAGAGGAAGAAATTCACGAACCAAATGCACATGTTAAAAATATATGTACAAATCCAAACACCGTTTACACCACCGCCTATTTTACTGTTGAGAAAAAACCATCTTCATTTTCATCACTTTCGTCTACAAGCATCTTCACGAAGAAATTACTAAGAAGACCCCAGCGGGTATCTTCAGAACAATTTATTTCAAAGAAGCAACCAAGAAGATTTATGGATAGCGAAATTTTTATTGATAATACTGCAAATTTTATGTCGGAAAGTTTCACAAGTTTTTCTTATGAAGACAGCGAAATATTTCCCCACAACCAAAAACGATCGTTCTATGATTGGTGGGACAAATGTGAAAGGATTTTAAAAAGCAAACCTAAAGACAATAAGAACTCCACTTTTTCTTTCAAGGAAGATACTGGTCGTAATTTTGTGCGCAATTTATTTAAAAGAAATAAGAGTTTAGTGTTCACATCGTCTAACACAGTACATGATAAAAGTGAGCGGAGGCATAATAGGGTTGAACCCAATAAAGTTTCGTCAAAATTAAAAACAAACATACAAAACAAATCGCGTAAAAAACATGTCAAAATTAAGCCTCATCACAAAAATAATACCAAGTTTGATTTAACGACAATACAAAATTTAATAAACATCATCAAAACATACAACTACCCGAAAATGGTCTTGAAAGAAAAGTTATTATTTTACTTGGCCGAAATCAAAAAAGCAACCAGACAAAAAATTGAAACAAACGACTTTAACGAGATAAAGGCGACGTTGTTCGATAAAATATTTAAGACAATAGAATCCGAAACCAATAAAGGAAATTTGACAATAAAATCTAAGGAAAATCGCGTTAAAAATAAAATAAGTAAATTAGAATTATTGAATAAGGAGTTTCAACGCGATGTTGATCAGTTGGTTAATTTGCTATATTCTTCACAGGATGGCAGAAACGAAAAATCAAAATCGCCAGAAAAATCAAAATCGCACAAGAGAGCAGAGAGATCGAAGAGTCGAACAGGTAAAGAAACCACCTTGTATAGTCTTTTTTTCATTATGATAGAATAGTACATTCTGTAACAAGTTTGGAATACAGCATATTCCGCTCGAGGAAAAATTTGACTCACGAGCCGAAGGCGAGTGTGACGGTTTTACGAGGGTGGAATATGCTATTCCAAACGTGTTTCAGACATTATTTTCTCTACGACTACGTAAGAATAGTAACGCTTATATAATTTTAAACAGAGAAAAGAAACCAAGCAGTTTTTAACATTTAAGTTTTTTGTATTGTCAAACCATTTTGTGCCGTCACAATTTTATAATGTAAATTATAATAAATTTAAACAAATGGTATGCCTAAATCTTTATTATAATTAAAAATAGTTATTTACACTAACTAATAAAAAAAATAACATTGTAACAAATACAAAACTAATTTTACAAGTAATCTATGTCAACATCTATTCTTTCTTTACATTTTAAAGGTCTTTTTTTAAACTTTTTGAATCTGTCAAAACTTCAAAGCCGGTATAGTAGGTAACTGGTTTATCATTTTAATATCAAATTTATTATAATTTTGATTTGTATATTTGAAAAACAATAAATATAACTAATTTTTTGTGCCCAAACCTTAATTATACAACTGCTATTATTTTTTAATTAATAAATAATACAGTAATATTGAAATATTTTTAAATTTTTTACGTTTTGTAAACCGTCAGGAGATGTCGTTACTTGTGACCATTCTTAAACAAGAGTAGGAATATTCTCGCACAGTATTGCAGAAAAACATCCTTTCTATGATCAAAAATTACACTAGAATGTTACTATTCTTAAGTAGTCGTAGAGAAAATAATTTTTACTTATTTCTCTCTGATCGATCGATAGATAGACTTCCAAAATGCGTTTTTTTCAAAAATTCATCTTTTGAAAAAAAAAATATGGCCTCTTGAAACCAAGGCCCTTCTTCTAACGGTACCCACTATATTTTAAAAGAGTCTATTCCTATGCAAATTTTCGGCCCTAGACAGTCAAAGTGCATTTTGTCCTATACACATAGGGCATTATGCAGAAACGTTAGCATATCAGTGGATATTGGTTTTTTTAACATCTATATTTTTCCTAAAAAAATCGATTTCTATACTTTGACATATTAAATTAGACATAAAACAATTAAAAATTCATCAAGATTTATTTGACATTTTAACCATAGAAAATAATTTCGCTAATATGTCATGGTTTACTAGATTTGTTTTTTGACCAATAAAATCATCTAAAATAAATTGGTTGATATAATTTAAATCAGTCGTTAACGACTGATTTAAAATATGGATAAAAATAGACAGTGTTTTTGTTTGTTAATATTTATGAAAAATAAATTCAGAACTACCATTTAATAAATAATAAAGATTATAAAATAAAACCAAAATTGTGTTTAAAAAATATTTGTCTTATTTTTTAAATACTTTTGAAGAATTTTAAATTTTAGACCATGTTCAGGGGGCAGGCAAGGGTAAATTATATGCATGCTACAAACAGTTTCAAAACTCCACCTCCCACCCATTTTCTAGCACAATTTTTCCGGACATGCAATTTTTGAGTATAGCTCCCTCCTTTTAATTAAATAAGTTTATTCTGAACCCATAATTTATGTATATCAAGCATTAACTAACATATGTTATCCTCTAGAGTTTGTGTCTTAATTTTTTTTAAGTTTCTTGTCAGAAATTTTAAATTTTTTTTTCCTTCTCGATGTCTTCAGCATCATTGCATTTATTTTTCAAATGTACCTAAATGCCTAAAAAGGTGTTATTGGTACCTGTAAAAGAATAGCTTTAAGTCGTAATTTTCGTTTTTCATACCTTCTAATGCAAATTTAGGTACTTGTAACAAAACACATTGCAAACTGCGAACATAACCCAATTGTGTGTTTTATATCGCCGCAATCCTCTTCAAAACAAAGTTTTTGTCAATAATATGGTTTAGTCAGTTATAAATGCATTTATGTGTGTATTTAATAATACATTTTAAAAATGTATCACTCTTATAATGTAATAAACACATATTTAAGTATTTAGGATCTTTTTTCAGATTTCTGATATTTTTAAGGGATAAATATTTTTGTTATTATTAAAGGACTGCTTTTTCAAAATTATTGGAATCTTGAATTTGCTCCAAATATCACACCAGACTTTTTGGTTTCCTGAAAATTATGCAATTTGGACAAAACGCATTTTGGAGATTTTTTTCATAGTTTCATTTCACCCTGTATATTTTGACATTGTCTATGAACTTGACTGTCCATTAAACAATGTCAATCAGAATCATACTGTCAATCAAAACAGAAACTAGAAAAATAATGTCAATACTTTTGTTGTATTATTTTTGTGTAAGCCTAGGTTAAAATTAATTTTTGTAGCTTTTTGCAGGCGCTCCTGTCAAAAAATCGAAGAAACACCATGCGAAATGATGGCGCTAAAACTGAGGCAATCACACGACGAAGGATGCCAGTTTTCTTCGTCCGTTGAAAAACTAAAAACAAGTTACCTTGCTTTGGAATCACCGCATACTAAATTGGGAAAAAAAAGCGACATCGGAGACACGTACTTAAACGGTAAAAGTAAAATTTCGTCCATCAGAATCCAGTGCTGCCCTTCGGGTGATTGTTGTAAGAATCATCAGCATAAACGAATCATTTGCTCGAAAGCGTCCAGGAAGAGTTTAAATAAAATCAAGAACAGCTGGAATGACATAATGAATTCTATGCTTAAACATTTAAACGCCACACCACCAGAGGTGATAACTAAGAAATCACGGGATTTGATCAACGAGGTTTACAGGAGTTGCAACGGAAGAACCAGTGAAAATCCCAGCATGATGAAAGTGATTTACGTGAACGCAAAAACGAAGACGACTAAAGATTCCTATTACGTTGGCGCGAATTACGTGGTTAACTACGTCTTTGTAGGAGACGTGTTCGGCATGTTAAGCGTAAACAAGCCGTTGTGGAAAAATCAGCGGTTCGACACATGCCCAATTTACCCGACAAAAGAGTTGATACCGTGCGTGTCTCAACTTTCCGTCAACCTCTCCGTTTACAAGAACAACTCAGACTCGACGTATTTACCACGCAACGAAGACGGCCTGCTCGACCCGAAGAACCTCATGCAGATAGTGAAAATGTTCGAGCACTACAAATCCGACGAACTCAACATGGAAAAGCTCAGGAAGTATGAGCTGAGAAAATCGCTGGAACAGTGCAAGCCGTACGTGAGTCACCTTCAAAGACTCATTCGATACTTAATTTGGGCGGTTTTCAGACTCTTCTACGCGAAAAGATGCCGATATTTTTGCCTCGAAGGGAAAAGAAATTGCATCGTTCGTCGACACATAATTAACGAGATAAGCATATACAGCATCACCTCCGTCACTATCCTTGTCATTTCTATTTATATCTTGCTCTTCTACTTCTATTGTAACATGTGATGTGAATATACACTCTAAAACTAATACTTTAGTACTTACATTGAACATTAAGAAGCACAGAAACATTGAGCGGCAGATCGAGGGCTACGTGATTCACAAAACAAGTCAAGGTTGCGTTGTGATGTGCTCTCAGAACCCTCCCCATTCTGGCGTCATTTCTTGCGCCGACTTTTTGGTCTCGAACTGTTTCAGTAAGGTTCAAGACCTCCAAGGGTACCTCAGGGGCGTCTAACAGGGCTGTCGAGCCCAATGCCAGCTCCCAGGATAGAGACGGTTTCGGATTACCGTCGTCCACTACGCAGGAGACTGTTAGGTCGGCATTTTCTTTTACTGGGATGAAAGGGTTTCCAGGGTCCAGGATCCTGTTGTCTATCATAAGGTAGACTTTTTTAGGGGCATCTGTAACAAAAGAGTAATGGTGAGTTACGAACTATAACTTTCTACACTGAAAGAAATGTTTCTAAGACGAGTTTCATAAAGACAATAAGAGTATGCTTAGTTAGAATCATATTCGTTTATGAAGACAATAAGCTGTCTCATACTGTTTAATACTATAGGGGAGATGCGAACTGACCGCGAGGAATAAGTGTCTGTGGCTGTAGTGTTTTGTTTATTTGTTGTGACATCTGCTGGCTCTAATAGCTGGCAATTGTTAAGGGTAAGTTTTTGTAATAATTATACATCATGATACGAGCATAAGCCTTAGATTAATAAAGGTTTATACCTTGATCTTGGAACAGCACAATGAGCTGATGCAGATGATGCAGGTACACGAAAACTGTTTTTATTGATTCCCATTATAATAATTTATTAATTTTACATTAGGGACCAATATACTTGTAAGTATAATATATTAAATGGGTTACCTTACGTGGTTTAAGGATAAAGGTATCTTAGAAACTACTGGAGTCACAAAAAATAATAGCAAAAATTGTAAAAATTAACCAATTAAGAGCAACATTATTAAGAAGTGTGGACATGGGAACATTTGGTTTAAAATTGTTTATTATTTATATTCTAAGTTAAACTATATTTTATTTATTTATATTAATATATAATAACAATGTTAATATAATATTAATTATTGTTCTCTACACATTTTTTGGTACAGTAATTTCTGAGATAACTATATGGGTCCCCTTACTTGGTTCACCCTGTACCTACCTACCTATATCTAATACCTATATTCCCCAATAATGTATTCTATGGCACGTTGTTTTAGCATTTATTGGATAATAGTTTGAAGAAATTTATAAAGTTAAAATTTTAATTTAACTAGTTGATTAAAATTAACGATTTACATAAATCATGATTTTAATCATGGGATTTTAATAAAAAATCACGATAAAAATTAATTAAAAAATAGCCCCCAAAACAAAAACAAATGATTTTACTAAAAATTAAAAGAATACATATTCCAAAAAATAATTTTAAAAAAATTGCAGTGACACGCTATGGGGTTTTTGTAAGTCGGAATATTTTTACGCTTGTTTTATTTTCTCCCTTGGCATTCTTTGTAAGTTTTGACATGCAAAATTTTGATTTACTTCTGTACTATTATATACCTAATTATATAATTTTTATTTATATTTTATTTATTTATTGTACCTGTTTTTATAATAAAAGTATAACATTTATAAAAATTGAACTTTTTATATAAGTCCTGTCAGCAAGTAAGTATAATATTTCTCTACGACTACTTAAGAATAATAACATTCTAGTGTAATTTTTCATCATAGAAAGGATGTTTTTCTGCAATACTGTGCGAGAATATTCCTACTCTTGTTTAAGAATGGTCACAAGTAACGACATCTCCTGGCTGTTTACTAAACGTAAAAAATTTAAAAATATTTAAATATTACTGTATTATTTATTAATTGAAAAATAATAGCAGTTGTATAATTAAGGTTTAGGCACAAAAAATTAGTTATATTTATTGTTTTTCAAATATACAAATCAAAATTATAATAAATTTGATATTGAAATGATGAACCAGTTACCTACTATACCGGCTTTGAAGTTTTGACAGATTCAAAAAGTTTAAAAAAAGACCTTTAAAATGTAGAAAAAGAATAGATGTTGACATAGGTAGATTACTTGTAAAATTAGTTTTGTATTTGTTACAATGTTATTTTTTTAATTAGTTGGTGTAAATAACTATTTTTAAGTATAATAAAGATTTAGGCATACCATTTATTTAAATTTATTATAATTTACATTATAAAATTGTGACGGCACAAAATGGTTTGACAATACAAAAAACTTAAATGTCAAAAACTGCTTGGTTTCTTTTCTCTGTTTAAAATTATATAAGCGTTACTATTCTTACGTAGTCGTAGAGAAAATAATGTCTGAAACACGTTTGGAATAGCATATTCCACTCTCGTAAAACCGTCACACTCGCCTTCGGCTCGTGTGTCAAATTTTTCCTCGAGCGGAATATGCTGTATTCCAAACTTGTTACAGAATGTACTATTCTTATAAAAAATGCATAATTTCGTCTATAAGACATATTTTATTAAAGTAACTAAATTGCTAATAAAGAGAATAAACAGAGTTTGTAAAAATTATTATCCACTACATAAAATTAATAAGAATTTTCCAATACACATAGCAATCTGAAGTTATACTGGCTAAAAAACATGTAATACTCGATATAAAGCGGGTTTATAGTATTTAAGATTTTGATTATATCCACTACATCATTTTATGGTGGCAGCATATCTAATTTATAAGAGATAATAGTATGTCTAATAACTGTTACAAGATGTTTTAACAAAACCAAGTTCATACTGTGTAATATTAGAATATTAACTCTTTTAACGGATTGACTTTGAGATGGGTATAATATGCCCAAATTGCTAGAAGCCCTTTAATAACTTAACTCTTCATGAACAATATTTTAAAAAACTTTCGGCAAATAAAATTTGATTCTCATATTTATTATTAAAATATAAATATAAATTATAATTTGTATGTAACGAGAAACACTTGGCGCTTAAACATCGCTCACTAGTTCAGCAACATGAAATACGAAGCATTCCGTTCGAATGTAAATGAACGAAAAGTTGAGTATAGTTCGAAATAATAAGTAGTTCCCTAAATCTTCTGCGTGGAACACATAAACGAATAGAGGCAATTATTCAAATCTAATTGCAGATGTAGTTTGGAGCAGCAGCCGTAGCCTCAGCTTCTAAATGGAAAAATGAGAAAATCCATCGCCTGAATCGCTAAAATGCTCGCCTAATTGGATTTTAAGTAAATCAAATAGTTTTAATTAGACTGTTACAGTACTGCTGAAACTTTAACAGTTTTACATAAAATGTACAATAAATGAGTTTAGATAAAAGTTTTGCATACCAAATTGATTTCGTATTTTTAGTTGGAGATTTTATTAAAGCGCTACTTGGACACTACCAAAAACTGTTTTTCGAACATAACCACATTTTTTTAGGTATCGGGTTTTCGCAAAAATTTCTAGAGACTCCAATAAATTTAAATATACTAATATTCTCAATGAACAAATAGAAACTAATAATTCACCACTGTTATTAAAACTATTTTAATTTTATCAACATACAACAAATTACACATTTAAAATATTTTTCCTCTAATAAAACTGTTAACAATAAATACTTTAGGTTTTTCCCATTAGGAATTTCTTAATGCTATCCTATTTTAATATTATGTAACACAGGTAGATGTAGAATTAAATCCTTACCTTGAATACCAATATTTTTTTTTTATTATATAAATTTTGTATTAAAAAGTTCGCACGTTACTTTGGTGGTAAGATTTTTGTTTTTTGTTAAGAGCAAGGCTGTGTTTAAATTACAACAAAAATATTTTTAAAAAGTTATCGGACACTTTTTATTTATTGGACAATTAATATTAATACTGTAAAAACAGTTCTATAAATAGTCATTGGATGACGCTTTATACAATTATAACTATCTCAGTCGGTAATAATACAGAACTACTTTATTTTGGGTCCAATATAGGACAAAAAAATTCGCACGTCACTTTGGTGGTAAGATTTATATTTTTTTTGTTAAGAGCAGGGCTGTGTTTAAATTACAATAAAAAATTCTAAAAAGTGTACAGATCAGTTTGTGGTATAAATGTGTTCCTCATGGTTTAAACATTGTCACTTTAATGCGTTTTAATTTTAATTCTGAAAATATACAGTAAAATGGCCAGTGTCCAATTACTGGTTGGTAAAAAATGTAAATTATTGGACATATTTCCAATATCATACTCTATTTGTATCCCAGACATTTACCAGCCAATTCTTACGTAAAATTGTCCCCTGAATCCGAAAAGACCGTCAAAAACTATAAAAGTTAAGCAGTTTTTGAGTTATAGTAAATTCCATATTATATGTTAAATTGATTATATTTCAAAAACTGTTCTACTTGTATAATCTTTGACGACATTTTCGGATTCAGCGAATTCTATTTCATAGGAATTGACTGCTAAATGTCCTGGATACAAATTGCTGTTGACGAGAATTATTAGTTCCTGCTTTTTCGCTATGACATTTTTGACTAATTCATTTTTAGAGAGTGAGTAATATAGTGATTTCTTTGTCACAGGACATCTTGCAGAATAAAAGTGATTTAAATACAATACATAATTTTCTTTTACTCATTTTTATTTGCTATTCACTAAATTTCTTTACTGTTAAATTTTACAAAAGGTACTTGAAATATTAAAATCTCGTATATTGAAAAATTATATTTAATTATTAATTTTAAAGAAATTAAATGCATCAACTTTCCTGTTTAATTAAAAACCTTTTTGGCCCAATTAAAAAATACCCTGGAACTGTAAAATCCTATCCATGCTTAGTGCATATTTAATAATAGCTTTAGCAGTGACAAGTAAAGGGTTGACATTTATCCATAAAACTCGCTTAACTTTTATTCTCTTGGGGATATCGTATTAATAGACCATTACCCTTTCGACACTTCGTACTCTTATATTTGTTACTTTTAATTTTTGTAAAAACGAGAACGAGGTTGATAGTTTATTGTTTCTTTAGAAAAATGCCAATATTTCATATTTTTTAACCTAATTCATAATTTGGTAAAAAAACAAACTTCTAGTTATTTATGTGTTACTATCAGAAAGGTAAAATGCTTGATCTAAACAGAAAAAAATCTCAAAATTAAATTCTAAAAATCTCTTGATTCGACCTCTTCGGGAATTGGCAATCAGAGAAAAAAATAGTTCATTTACTGCGAACTGAAAATTAGTTATTGAATTTTATTGTGTCAGCCGTTGTCGACGGTAAACGAACAACTGGTGAAATTTCCTTTTTATTAGTGACAAGTTCTCTCGGAAACTGTTAAATTGTCCGGGACGACTCTGAAT